TATGGACTTTAAATTCCATTTGTTTAGTAAACAAAGACTTCGTACACTATGAACTCCATTCATAATGGTAATATGAATGACAAGCTTTGTAACAATGACGCAGTGCACAGAACATGTCATCATTGTTATGTACAAGAAAGGATACACATTGGACATTATCATTAACAACACATCACAATAGTGAAAGGCTGTAATTTGTCAATTTTTAACTTTCACTTTCACATGCTCTGCTTTGGGGCTAAACCACTGCCCTTTTTGGCTGCCGAAAATCCAAATCGATGTTGCCACTAAAATTACAGCAAATCAATTGTCAACTTTCTAAAAAAATCTAATTTTAAACCAAATTATATCATGCAAAACAGCAAATTATAGCAAAATTCAGAATACTGGTGTGGCATGCCCTTATCCCTGCCAGATTGTTTAAAATCATGCGAAAAATTAACATTTAATACACAGTAAGGCTTATTGTAAATTGTAACTACAGTGGAACTCAGATTCAATGAAAGGAAGTGGATTCTCCGTTTATTTTATTTAATTAATAAAGTCAGTAAGAATAACATACGATTCAACTGACACACTGATGAGCAGCTCGGAATCAACCAAGTCGCTGGCAGGGGGTACAGTCCCCGCTGACGTGGCTTTCTTCATTTTCCTCCTGCAACGTTTAAGTACAGTCAAACCTGCCCTGATGGCCACCTCTATAAGACAGCCACCTGTATAAACGGCCACTTTCCATTTCCCCCCTTGCGTTTTTTTCTATATTATTTAACTGTGTAAAACGGGCACCTGTCCGCCGCGGCCATCATATTTTAACACACAACCCCTATCACACTAAGCAATAACACCTGTCTTAGACCGCCACCTTAGTGACTCCATTACGTTTTGTCATAAATTGTGCATTGGCCCCTGGCGTTATGGGCGAGCTGTCATAATCCAATCACCTGTCGTTGTTAGGTAGTCCCTCAAACCGATCATGTTGCGTAGGCCCCTCCCACTGTTGACCAATAGCTACCAATTTTCAGCTGCTGGTGAGATAAGCGTGTGATAAACCATAAACAATTACAACAACAACAACAACAACAAAAACAACAATGCTGCTACTTTCGATTTGGACCTCAGATGGGAATGGTTTGTTTTCTTCATCTTGATCAGTCCTGCCTAAGACGGCCACCTGTCTTATACGGCCACTTTTCTCCTTGACAATGGGTGGCCGTCTTACACAGGTTTGACTGTATCTTTATACGACCAATCAGTAGCCTCCTTTTGTACCAGCAAATGCGTTTTAATGTCTTGGTTTTAATGTTTGGATTCTTGTTTTACTAATCTCTCTGTGACTGCTTGCTCATGGTTGTGGAAGTGATATTTTGCTTCCAATGTTAACCCCTTGATGATTAAGTATCATCAAGTAAGTACTTGCTTGCTGTTGAAAATGGAACTCAGCTTTTCATCAAAATATTATATTATATTATAATGTGAGGCAGCGTGGTGGAATCAGACGCTTGTCAAAATAATTAATTTTTAAAGTCAAAGAAACCTGCAATTTTCTGGCTGTTGGCAATTTTGTCTGAAATTTCGTTTTTTTTGTTGTTGTTTGCTTTTTTTTTGGCTCGGCACTTTTTAATGATATATTCTATCCACTTAAAAACACATTTCTGTGAGAATTGTATTGAAAAACGCTGATCAAAGGCTCATAGAATATATATAATGTAAAGTTCAATTTTCCAAGGACCCTCAACCTTTGGAAGTCTCCAAACTTTGGTGTCCATTTTCTCGCAAATTTTACCTCTAACACCAGTCGACCCTTTCTTCCTTCAATCGCAAATATCTCCACTTCTATTCAAGATAGATAGGTATTTTTTTCGCCCAATGCAAGACAAATTAAAAAACAAGCTTTAAGATATTTTGTATTTAATGGGAATTGAAAAGTGCACTTTTATTCTTTTATTTTTTGTCTTTTGAATGTGGTGAGAACTCTATATGCCCCGAACTCAGCGAGGTCCTGATTCCACCGCATCGTGACACATATTGATTGATTTCTGATTGTTAAGAGCCCTTGTCCTACTGATTGTAAAGATTAATTTTTCAGATTTTTGGAGTTTGTCCTTAAGTAGCAACATAACATGATGCTTCCATGTTGGCCTTTTTTATATAAAAAGGTTTTTCTGCAGCACACATATGCACTAGATCAACCAAACTTCTTTTTTATTTTAGGCTGTTTTAAGATAATTTAGTCTCATCAGCAAAGGGCAACATTACTTTCCTTTCTTCTAATTTTTAGGTTTTATGAATTGGTGTTTTGGTAGGTTTGCTTTTCTTATTAAATTGTTACTACCTAGAGGTTTGCTTTTTGCTGTGTTCTTCCTAAAAGTTTGTATCTTGGTAGATTTGTTAAAATAATTATTTTAATTCTGCAATATTATAACCTATTGAGGACAATATAAGGTTACAAAGCTCTTTCTAAATATCCATTAATTAAGTAGTTGATTGAAAAGGGAGAGTTTTATGACTATGGTCACAGCTGTGGTGAAACTGTATGATCATGCTGTTACCCAGTGAGAGCTCATACATACTGAGCTTACTTTTGTCTAATTCTTGTGTGGGTCATATGTGCACAACTTATGATGCTGCACCAGAAGTGCTTCATACACATGTGCTGTGAACTTGGTTGAATATGGATGCTTGCTCGAAGCTCATCTTTGCAAGATTGAAAATGATCTGAAGTTCACACTAATGTTACATGCACCACAATCATTGTTCTATTTTTGCAGACCAAGGGAGACTTTCCATGTAATGTTATGCTATATTTATTTTCTTGAGTGATAACGAGTTGAAAAGGAAAAAAAGATGGACAGAGAACTGCTTGCCCCTGCTTTCTCTATTGAAATGAAATGTGATTTTATGTCTACTGTTTTTCAGGCGTTATTAGTTCTTGTGAGATGGTATTTGGTGTTGACAAATTTTGCAAAATGATCTTGCCTGTTATGGCAGAAAAGACCAACACTTGGACAATTTCTTTTCTTTTTTTTTTTCTTTTTAGAGATGTTAGGAAATGTTTGGGGCTGTGATAGGGTCTGTCATGAGAAACATTTTCAAAATTTTCAATATATTGTGAACAGTGGTGATACAGAGTTTGGAAATTATGTTTTTGTGTATTTGTATAATGACAAGGCTTATGATGAGTGTACTGGGCTTGATTTACTCTGTTTCACATTTTACTGCAAGTAACGCATTCCCCCACTATTATACTATTAAAAATGCAGATTACAATTATATCATTGATAGCCATTTCATGTACTTTTACTAAGTTTCTTCAATTTCAACTGGGTTTCAGCACATCATATAAGATCAATATAATAATAATATTTGATATTATGTCCACAGGATGAATTCCATCCCTTTATTGAGGCGCTTTTGCCTCATGTCAAGGCTTTCTCATACACATGGTTCAATCTTCAAGCTGCCAAGCGGAAATATTACAAGAAACATGAGAAGAGGATGTCAATGGAAGAGGAAAGGAGGGTGAAGGAGGAATTACAGGTGGGTAATTTACATGTCATGTCATGATCCTTTGGTCATTACAAGAGATTTGAAGTGTTTTTATTAAGTAAACTGATTTATGGTCTTTACTACTTTTTTTTCCGATACCTTCATAATACAGTGGTGTCCAAAAGAAACTTGAAAATGTAATCACTCGGTCATCGTGTTAAAGCCTTGCACTACCCATTCATGCAGCAAAGCTAAATAAATTCTGCATCATCTGGCGCATTAATATTTCATTTATGTTAAGAGACACCCAAGATACAGTTACTCAAAACTGACCTTTAAAAAAATCAGGTTTGGCAAAAGCATGCAAAATCAAAGAAATGTAAAGTTGTCTTCACACGTGTATTTGAGGAGCATTAATATTATCATAGAATTGACATACGTTGCATCATATATATATATAGTGAATGGAGAATTTAGTCTCTGCAATATACAATGTTTTATGTTTCAATCAGAACAGAAAACAGCAATCACAAATACCACGCAAAACTTGCTTAACATTAAGTGCTCATTGTTGTTTTGTTTTAGGAGCCATTGTTTTTGTGAAGGGCACGAACCCCTTGGGCATTGGCTCTATTAAATTTTGAACTTAATTATCTGTCATTTAATCCCACATGTCACAGACAGTTACAAACAGAGGGTCTGAATTGGAAGCAAATTCGTTTTTATTCAGCTGCTGTTTCATAGGACTTTACATACCTGTAAGAGTCGTATCGGGGCTATTAAACAAGTGACCACTTTAATGCTGGTATTCTTTTGTTTTCCAAGAATTTTCTAGAGGCACTGGCACAGTGAGAGAGTACTTTGCCATGCATGCAGATGTCTATTTGAATGACACCTTGACGAAAATAAGGGTAAGACGTGACGTCACATTCCAGCACTTGCGCGATGTAGTTCACTAAACCAAGCCACTCAGTGATTTTCACTAGGGGGTGAATCCCTTGGGCGTAGGCTCTATCAAATTTTGGGCTTAATTTTCTGTAAATTCATCCCACATGTCACAGACAGTTGCAAACAGAGGGTCTGAATTGGAGGCAAAGTCGTTTTTATTCAGCTGCTGTTTCTTCATAGAACTTAACATACCTGTAGGAGTCATATCGGGGCTTTTAAACAAGTGACCACTTTAACGTTGGTATTCTTTGGTTTTCCAAGAATTGTCTAGAGGCATTGGCACGGTGAGAGAGTGCTTTGCCTTGCATGCAGATGTCTACTTGAATGACGCCATGACGAAAATAAGGGTTAGATGTGACATTCCAGCACTTACGCGATGTAGTTCACTAAACCAAGCCACTCAGTGATTCTCACAAGGGGGGGTTGTTCATTCCACCCCAGACCACCCAAAACCATGGCTGTTTCGTGGCCTGTGTTCCTCACTGACAGATGATTAGTTTAGTTCAAATTCTAACTGCCACAGTCCATGTGCAAAAAAGGTTTCGTGCTCTACAAGAAACAAATTCCTCCTAAACAAAAATAAAATACTAATGGCACATGCACATGTAATGTTAAGTACCAGGTTTTGCATGGTATTTGTGAGTACTCTGTTTCCAATCTGTTTTCTAATGAGAACATGCTGTTCATTGCAGAGACAATAATATTCTCGATTCGTTAAATGTTCAATACACATGTCCATTACACCAATGTTGTGATGCTCCCCAATACACCAGCGAAGACAGTTTTACGTTTCTTTGATTTTGCACGATGTTGCCAAGCCTGATTTTTTAAGGTCAGTTTTAGTTGACCATATCTTTGGCATCTCTTAACATAGATGAAATATAAGTGTGTCAGATGATGCAGAATTTATTTAGCTTTAAACTGGTGCTGCTTGAATGGGTAGTGCAAGGCTGTAAGCAGATGATTGGGTGATTACATTTTCAAGTTTCCTTTGGACGCCACTTTATAATATGCAATGGATTTATATTTGTAATTTTGTGATTGTGAATGCGACATCAGCGAATACATACAGATTAAAAGAGGAGTCAGACAAGGATGTGTACTTTCTCCAGACTTGTTCCCCCTGTATAGTGAAAATATCATGAGACACATAGAAGAAATGCCTGGTGTCTCGATAGGGGGACATAATATAAACAATCTAAGATATGCAGATGACACAGTCCTAATAGCAGAAGATGAAGAACACCTGCAGAATCTATTAAATGTCATCGTACAAGAGAGTGACAACATGGGCTTACGCCTAAACATCAAGAAAACCGAAACGATGGTGATTCAGAAATACTCCAGTCCCAACATGCAATATCAAAATCAATGATACCACCCTCAAGCAAGTACAACATTTTAAATATTTGGGGACCATTATATCATCAGATGGTAGATGTCACACCGAAATTAAAAGACGCATTTGCCAAGCAAAAGCAACCTTCCACAAGATGAAACAGATACTAACAAACATCAATCTGTCACTGGAAACGAGGAAAAGAGTAATGAAAAGTTACATCTGGCCAATCCTATTATACGGGTGCGAAGCGTGGACTATCAATGAACAGCTGGAAAGAACAATTGTAGCGACAGAGTTGTGGTTCATAAGACGCATGCTACGTATCCCATGGACAGCTAGAAAAACAAATGAAGAAGTCCTGGTTGAAGCAAATTATAGAACACAACTTATCACGAATATAAGAAAACGACAGGCAAATTTCTTCGGACACACAATGCGGAAAGAAGCATTAGAGAATATTGTAACAACAGGAAAGTTTGATGGAAAGAGAGGCAGAGGCAGACAGAGGGAAAAGGTACTGGACAAGATGACAACATGGCTGGGAGCAGCAAGAACAACAGACACCATTGCTGCATCGGAAGACAGATGGAAGTGGACGTCCATGATCGCCCACGCCAGTCTGCAAGGCACCGGATGATGATGATGATTGTGAATGCGTGCATTGCGGATGGTTGGAGGGTGCCACTGGTTGGTCATATTTCTTTACCCCCCCCCCCCCCCCCTTTGCTGCTTCTGTCTGTCTTACTTTTTCCCATCAGTAAATGACCATTATTGTGTTGATGTGCTTCTCTTTAGTCAATCAATACAAAACAAACAAAAATGGGTGTGTGCACTTGTATGACTGCATTTCTAGCAAGACAGAGAGGGTTTGGTGGAGATACGCAATATTGGCTGTGATGTTTATGCTGTACACATATAATATATTTTGCAGTTGTCTCCGCTACAATCCCACTGCTTATCATCCCAGTTTGCTTAGATCCTGTTGTTTTTAAGAATACAGAATTTTTACTTCATAAAAGTCATCCCAAGAGCCCTCTCTGAAAGATCCTGCATTTCAGATCATAATTTACAAACCAAAAACTTGGTGCACTCGATCAAGGAGCAAAATTTTGCAATCACTGCTTGTCCACTCCACTGTCAGTCATGTCACAGATCATCCACTTTCGTGAATTCAATCGCATCTCCGTTTTAAATCTTGACTGGGTACAATGTTTGACCCAGAGGGGATTACACAGAAGTATAAAAATTCATTTGCATTTATTTTCTCCAAACATTGCCCTTGCATGAGCCCTTTGCCTGCACTTACATCAGGTAACATCACATGCTGGTGAGTAGGGTCCACAAGGCAATTTAGAAGGGATTGCATTGAACTGTGAAGTCGTCATTGCTTTTTTTGTTTTCCTGACCATGGCACCTCTCTTTTAGCTCTGGGCACGAATTTGCTTGACAGATTTGTGCTCATAGACTGTCCAGTCGCCATTGCGTCATGTGATCCTCCGTTAGCATCTATAGCCGTAGCAAATAGCCTGCCTTTCGTTCTTCAATTTTAATTTGTGTGCTAATAATAAATAGCGCATATGCCCCCCCCCCCTGACAGTAAGCTCTCTGCGCTTTACTCTATTTTATTACCCCAGCTGACCATAGAACACTCAGAAACATTCTCAGCTTCCCGGGAAGCATACTATACCGTGCAAGCAGCTGATTAAGTGCTCAAACACCAACAAACTGACAGGATCTTTCACTATCTATAGCTGGTACCCATTCCCACCTGGGTAAAATGAGGAGAATTCTTGTAAAATGCCTTTCCCCAAGGACACAGTCAGAGATGGAAGACTATAAATTATGGACAAGTTATTTAAGGGGAGATTGACCCCTGAGACTCGTGATATGATAATTGAATCCCATTCACCTGAAATCCTGCATTATCATTGCTCCCAATGACTGGGACCTCAGACAGACTACTGTTGTTATATTATGTAATGCATGTGAAATACTGAGACCTACTTTAGGAATCTGCTATATTGATGAAATTATACAATAATTTCTTCTGGAAGTGCTTTTGTGTTCTTTTGAGTCTCAGTCTCACCAGTCTGTTAGTTTGGTATGTATGACTTATAATGACGCAGTGCCTCTGACTTGAACTTCGGTTTCATTTGGGGAAGGCATAGAATCGTAAAAACTCCTCAGATCAATTCAGTCAATTATTAATAATTGTTTAAGTTTTGAGTCAGGGTTGCTGCTCCCTTATTTAGGGGTCTCAGCTTTCTGTTGAATGCTGTTTGGATTATTATATATATTACTGTGTTTAGAAATGTAGGTTATTGTCTATTGGTACCGAGTAAGGGTTTGGGAAGAAATAATATTGTCTATTTATACCAAGCAAGGGGTTGGGAAGAAATTATATTGTTGTAGACTACAGACTGTCCACATTCCACAGGAACGATTGTGAGTTCCCATTTAAAGGACTCGGAAAATACAAAATAATAATTGTTTTCATAATGTAGAAGAATAGTGTACCTTAAAACAATGCATCATTCTGATTTTATGGTATTATTTTTGTCACCTTCTGAAAACAATGAATTGCTGTCATAGATTCTATCAGAGTACTAAGTAAGCAGTCTGAATTTCAATGAATGATTTTTGGTTTTTGTTTTTTCTTTCCAGAATGAGAAAGCTGATGTGAAGCAAAAGTGGGCCTCCCGTTTGCTTGCAAAGTTGCGAAAGGATATCACCCAGGAATGTAGAGAAGACTTTGTGCTCAGTATCACAAGGAAGCGCAGCCCAATTTGTGTGCTTAGTAATCCAGATCAGAAAGGAAAAATGAGACGAATTGATTGTTTACGCCAAGCGGACAAAGTAAGTCTATCTTTCATAGTCTGAATTTTTATTTCAAATTTTAGATAATTTACGTTAACTTTTTCATCCTCTGTTGCCGTTAAGCGTCGAGAGGAGATGCAGTTTTCTATAGTAGGCCAGCTCCGCAGCTCTTTCAGTTGTGATATTATGTTTCCTTGACACCCTTGATCCTCCTTTTGTGTGGCTTTCCTCTTCCTTTATAGCCTGAGTGCTTGATTCAGATTTGAGATAAAAAAGGAAAAATGACAGGTGAAGTCTCGATGTGAGACGCTGTTGCTGGGTTTTGGGCTGGAATCCAAGGTGTTCCTTGAGAAAGAAAGTAGAGTCAAAGTTTTAAAATTCAGGACCACATTAAAAAGGTGGATAATATATGTTCACAAAAAAAAAAAGCTTTTTTATCATGAGACTATTCTGCTTTAGTTTTAGTGTTAGTAAGGTTTTACAGCACTCGCAACTGCATAGTCATATGAGCGCCAAGGGGTGGATGTCAACAGAGAAGTCCATACAGGGAATCAGGCTTACTCTGCTCACCTCTTTAGCTTCAGCAGCACCCTAGAAATAGCGGGTCACAAAAGTATGACAAACATACAAAAGAAGTAGAGGAAAAATGACAATAGTAAGGATTAGGAAAGAAAATCACCAATTTACCATTACAATTCTACTGTGCACAAGAACATGGTTAATGTCCCCCCTTTGGAGATGGGGTGAAGACACTTCAGTGAGTGGATTCTGCCTTGATATAGAAATTTATTTTGTCATGAATGATGGTTCTTTGTGTGTGCATGCATGCGAGCGAGCGTGCATTGTGGGATAAAGGACTTCCTGCTGTGTTTAAAGGTACTATTGTGTCATTTTCTCTGAAAGAGGAAGACAGATTTCTCAAACATTCTTTATAATAATAATAATAATATATAACATTTATATAGCGCATTTCCAAAAAAAGTAGCTCAATGCGCTTTATATTGGAATAC